GTGTGTGTGTGTGTGTGTGTATTAGATCCAGGAGGACTCAGGTGCCATTTGTTTCAGTCTAATCCGGGAAGTTTGTCAGCAGGAGAGGAAGCCGGCAGGGAGCTCCGTTCACTTCTTACCTCCTGAATCTTCCTGTTGTTTTTTGTTGTTGTTGTTGTTGTTTTTTTTGTTTTTTTTTTTACATGGCAGGTGTGATTATAGCATCCTGACGCCTCCTTCACAGCGGATACACAGAGCAGGAGCAGCGCAGGTGCTGCTAATAACGGAGGCTCTGTCCTGTGCAGGTGACAGCGAGCCAGCATGCACCAAACCAGGAACCTGAATCACTCATTTCAGGATCTTCTGCAGGAACCTCGTGTGTGTTTGTGTTTTCAGCCCCATCATTGAATAAATATGATTTTTAAGCGCATATTTCTGCTTATTTTACAATTCCAATCAGATTAAAGCCAATTTTAAACCCTAGCTACAAAAAAAATGAATAAATACCTCCTTTGAATGTGTGTGTGCGTAAGTATTGGTTGTGTTTGTATGTTCTAATGGGACCTCTAATTAAGACTCTGGGTATCTGCAATCTGTCAGCGCTGATCGATCGGCTGCCAGATTGACAGCTCACTGTGTGTGTGTGTGTGTGTGTGTGTGCACTGAGTGTGATTCAAGCTTAATGTTGTTTTACTTGCAGCTCGGACAAGGACTAACACGTGTGCACATGCAGCTAAAAGCCACAATGTTTGTAAAATTTCTGCTTTTTTACACTAGGATTGAAGATGTACTGTTGCATTACAGGTCTGCTGCACCCTGCCAGAGTTTCACTGTTTACTACTTCCACTTTTGTTTTTTTCGGTTCAATCTTGCACACCTTGGTAACCCATCTGCTTCACGTCAGGTTGTTTTACTTGCAGTTTGCACATGTTACCGTCATACAAACAGGATTAATTTATGGGCACATGCAGCTTAAATTCAAAAGATTTCTGCTTATTTAAAATGGGATTGAAGATTTGGTGTTGAATTGCAGGTTTTATACATACAGCGTTGTACACCGTACACTGCTCACACTGAACTCAACTGTATGTAAATCAGTTTTATTTTTTTAAAACAGATATTTGCTGTCATTTTCACTGTCTTTGTCTTTTTGAATGGCACCGTATTCCACTTTTTCTAATGTGTTCTGCTTGGCTTCCTTTGCTGCCAGGTTTTCATTGTTTATTTACATTTTTTTTTAGTACACCTTGGTAACCCATCTCCCTCTAGTCAGGTTGAGGTTGTTTTACTTGCAGCTCGGACATGTTATTTTCATACAAGGAGGATAAACATGTGTGCACATGCAGCTAAAAGCCATAATGTTTGTAAAATGTCTGCTTTTTTAACCTGGGATTGATGATTTGGTGTTGGATTGTTATACAGCGGGGTACACTCCTCACTGTTCACTCTGAACTTTACCATATGCAGCTCAGCTAAAAAAACAATTTATTTTAGATACTTGGTGTTATTTTCACAATTTTTTCCAGCTTTTGAATGTTGCAGTATTCCACCCTTACATGTTTTTTTCCCCCCAGTGCCATCATGTACACCATGATTACCCATACAGTGGAGGAGAAGCTTTAAATATGCTGTTAAAAGTTCGTATTTTAACCCAAACTGAGCTTTTTTCCACAGTTTTGATGCCTAAACTTGATCAAGCAGCAAGTGAACACATCTAGTTGTTGACTTTGAGCTTCTGCTTCACGTCAGGTTGTTTAACTTGCAGCTTGCACATGTTATTATCATAAGCAGAGGATTAATGTATGTGCACATGCAGCTAAAAGCAACCCTATTCATGGAATTTCTGCTTTTTTACTCTGGGATTGAAGATTTGGTGTTGCATTGCAGGTTTTATACGGACAGCGTAGTGCACCGTACACTCGTGCACTCACTCTGAACTTTACTCTTCTTTCTTTTGCACAGCCGGAGCCGCTCACAATTTCACCAGCACAGTTCCTATCCATCACCTGGCTGCTGCTGCTGCTGGTGTGTGTGTTGGAGCTCATGAGTGAGTGATGGCAGTGACAGTATAGACGGCATGTGCTGCGAAATGTCACCGCGGCGATCGATGGTGTTTAACGAGGCTGGAGGCTGATCTGGACCTCATGCTAACATGAAGCTCTCCTCCCTCCTCCTCCTCCCCCATCCTCACCCTCCTAATCCCACCTCCACTCGGCGTGAGAGCCCGAGGGAGAGGGACGAGGCCTTTTACCTGTCAAGAGGCTTTTGTGTCTGACAAGACACACAAAGACACATGTATTCTGTGTAAACTTGGCTCAAATCTGACCTCAGTTTTCCAGTTTAAAAGCCTTAAAATGTGATGGAAACTCTCCAGTTTACAGGTTTACTATATTTAACTGCTGACATTAGGTATGTTGCATATTTTGTATAATAAATGTGAAGGTTTGTCTCTCATCCAGTCATTGTTTTGAGCTCAACCGTGTGGCTTTCTACCTTCCGCTCGTCTTTAAAAGCATACGGATTGTTTGCTTTTTGCAGAATTTCTAATACAACATGCATTTTAAAGAAAACACAGGACACTGTGGCTCAAAATAATCACACACATGTATTCTGTGTAAACTTGGCTCAAATCTGACCTCAGTTTTCCAGTTTAAAAGCCTTAAAATGTGATGGAAACTCTCCAGTTTACAGGTTTACTATATTTAACTGCTGACATTAGGTGTGTTGCATATTTTGTATAATAAATGTGAAGGTTTGTCTCTCATCCAGTCTTGTTTCCAGCTTAACTGTGAGTGTGGCTTTCTATCTTTAGCTGTTGTCTTTTTGCTGAATTTCCACCACAACACAGTGAATTTAAAGGAAACACAGGACGTTGTCATTTAGAACAATCAGACACACACAGACACATGTATTCTGGGTAAATGTAGCTCAGATTTGACTTCAGTTTTTCTTTTAAAAGCCCTAAAATGCTGTAGTTGTGACGGAAATGTTACATTTCACGGCTGACACTTGCTATGTTGCATATCTCATATTAAATGTGAAGGTTTGTCTCTTATCTGGGCCTTCTTTCTTTAAAAAACCAAAAAACTTTACTGTGAGTGTGGCTTTCTACCTTTGGCTTGTCTTTAAAAAGCATACGTATCATTTACTTTTTGCAGAATTTAAACTACAACAAGAAAACACAGGACACTGTGGCTCAGAACAATCAGAGACACGTATTCTGTGTAAACTTATCTCAAATCTGACCTCAGATTTCCTTATTAAAAGCCCTAAAATGCTGCATGTTGCATCATTTGTATAATAACTGTGAAGGTTTGCATCTAATCCAGTCTTGTTTTCAGCTTAACTGTGACTTTCTATCTCCAGTTCTTGTTTTTAAAAGGGAAAAATTTGCTTAATTGCAATAAAGATCCCTGAATTTACAACCATTACAGCATGCATTTCAAAGAAAACACAGGACGCTGCAGCTCAGGATACACACAGACTCATGTATTCTGTGTAAATGTAGTTCAAATCTGACCTCAGTGTTCCTTTAAAAAAAAATGTAAAATGCAAGATTTGTGACAGAAATGTGATATTTTACTGCTGAAACTTGAAGGTGAGTCGATCATCCAGGCTTGTTTTTAGCGTAACCGTCAGAGTGACTTTCTGCCTTCAGCTCTTGTTTTTAATATCGCAACAAAACCTCTGAATTTACCACGACAACAGCAACGTGCATTTTTAAAGAAAACACAGGACACTGCGGCTCAGAATAATCAGAACTAGTTTATGATTTCAAAGTGCTGAACAGAAAAAAAAAAAAATCCAGTGAACCAAAGAGAAAGAAAAAAAATAAATTGAACAGGAAACTCTAACCAAAAAAGAGGGACATTGAAAAAACAGCAACTTTTTTTTCCCTTTTTTTTGTTTCTCTTCTTCTTTTTCAAAAAAAAAACAAAACAAAAAAAAACAATGCACAACTCGTACCACAATATTTGAAAAAGCTAAAAACACTTCAAAATATTAGTTTTGTATATATATATTTATATATATATATTTATATTTATATCTATAGAATTTTTCATCTTGAAAACTCGCCGCCGTGAGTGTGTGAGTGGGTTGGTGGGAGATTCCCCGCAGAGCCGCAGTCTGAGACACAAACACGGGTCGAGCTGTTTTTCTTTTTGACAGGCTTACGGCAGCTCTGACAGCGTATAAACACACCATGCATATGATCCGGCCTTCTCTAAGCGCACAAAAGACTGGTTTGTCCTTCACACTCTCACGCAGCCGCCACGACAGAAATGAAAAAAACATACAAACAAAAAAAAAAAAGAAGAGCATGAATGTGGAATGTTTCACTCCCTGGACGTACAGCTATCTGTCGAGCACCCTCCGACTCCCCGCCGTCCGTCCGTCCGTCCGTCAGTCCGTCTTCCGGGCGAGCAGGCAGGCAGGCAGGCAGGGTGTGTGTCTGTGCTTCTAGCCCTTTCTCAGGGTGTAAGTGCTTCAAAAAGCCAATTTCCGCCCCAGCGCTCACTCCTCCGTCCTCCTGACTCGACCTACGATTTTCAAAAACGAGTTAATCATAAAAAAAAAAAAGAAAAAAAAAAGCGACAGAGCAGAGCGAGTTCAAGTCTGGGTGACTCAGTCATCGAACGTTAGTGCGCAGCTTCACATCTGCCTCCTGAAACCAGATGGAGTCTTTCTTTCTTTCTTTCAGCTACTGACAGTACAGTACAAGTCTTTGTATTAAAATAATTTAGAGTTTGAAATTAGACCGCTCCTCCTCCTCCTTCTCTTTCTCCTCCTCCTCTGGCTCTTCCTCTTTGTGGCGAGATAGCACTTAAGAAATTGCACTTGTAATTAAGAGCCCACCTCAACAGCCACGTCCGTGTGTTTATGACATATCTGATGTTTCTACGCTGTCTGACCTCTGACCTTTTCAAAACTCCCTCACCTCCTTGCAGCAGCAGGCCGCAAACGTTCTCTTACACTTGCTAGAAAGAGTTCAGCACACAGATCAGCAGTACTCATAAACCTTTCTTTCTTTCTTTTCTGTTTTTGCAGAATGAGCTGCCACCCGGACGGAGAGAGGACAGTCATTTTCCTGCTCCGTCTCATCAGCGTCCTCCTCAGAAAAACAGGAGGATCAAATAAAAAGTGGTAAAGCGTTTTTTTTTTGTTTTTGTTTTTTGAAAGAGTCTTTTTTTTTATACAGGTGAAAAGCATTTGTCCGTTGGAGTGAAAGGCGCTCTTGTTTTGGTTGTCCCTTCGAGTGAAAAAGCATCTGATTGACTCTCTCTGCTCGGTCGGGAGCAGGCCAGTCTCTCTTTCTGGGTGAGTGTGCACATGCTCCATAGGGGGAAATTTTTTTCTTTTTAAAAAAAAAGGCCCGAACAGGACGCGATCAGTACGGCAGAGTGTCCAGAAACCTGTCGATGAGCGGTGGCGGCGGCACCAGGTCCTCCAGCTTCAGGTAGAAGATCCGCTGAAGGCCCTGGGTCCGCTGGGAACGCAGCTCCGCCCGTAAACCCAGGATGCGGTTCAGAGGAGGCGGCGCCTTGGACGTGGAGGAGGACGGGCCGCAGCCCAGGTGGTCTCTGAGACAACAAATCACTTTATTCTGCAGCTCCTCGACCCGCTTCGAGTCCTTCAGACCCGGGACTTGCTCTGTGGACAGAAGAGAAGAGCGACGTTAGAATCATTCATTTAACAGTCCACGGAGACAAAAATCACAGTCCACGAAAAATCAATCAGGTCGTCCCACCTGATCCCTTCAATCAGCTGATATTTAATGTGCAGTCACTTTACTTTGAATTACACAGAAGTGGGTTCAAATTTCACACTTTTCCAACATTTCTGAGCCTCATAACGTTTGTGAAAGTTCTGTGAAAAACTGCAATTAAATCAGCTTCACATCCCCTCCAGGTGTCCAAATCTAAAGCCTTTTTTTGTGCAGCCCGATTTTTCTATAACCAACTTCGAGCATCGATATTATGGGATGTATCCTAGTTTCAACAGCAAAACTGCAGCAGTTTAATGTCTGTGATGTGGACTAATAGAAACAAGCATGGATGTGTTTCTGTTTTCTGATAATTCACCAGAGAAAACTTCAAACAAGTGCACTTTGGGTAAAATGTCACGGCTCATATCAGCGTGCGTGATGGACGGTCGCTCTTACATTTGATACCAGGTCACCTTCTAGACGTGACTCCTTCTCCGTCAGAACTAGTTTCTGTTCTAGGTGTGTTTTGACACTTGCAAAATGTAAAATTCTGTTTACGAATTAAAACTACGATAAATCTGACTGAGTGAGCGCTGTATAAGTAAACAACATGTACAAAGGTGTGATTTGCACGTTTAACTTCCACCTGAAGCCGAGCAACGAGCCCAGTATTGATGCTGGTATTGATGAAGCTTAGCTGCTGCCTTAGAGTCACTCTGGGAATATAATCTGTCGACACTCAAGAAGCACTGGAACAAAATATGTGCTAATATATGAGAAATTATTTTTACCGACTCTTGAAAGTTTTCTCTAGTGAATGATCAGAAAACAGAAAACCCATCTAGGCCAGCAATGCCTGTTTCTATGACTCCATGTCATAAATATTAAACTGGTGCAGTTTTAACAATACTGATGCTCAAAGTTGGTTATAAAACAAATCATGTTGCACAAAAATGAGAGTCTATCTTTAGATTGTGACACCTGGAGTGGATGTAAAACTGATCTGGTGGCAGTTTTTAACAAAGCTCAAGTGTGTTTTTTAGCCCAGAGTCTGTCTGCTGTAGTGGGGAAGTTATGAGGCTCCGAAATGATTGAAAAAGCGAGAAATTTTAATCCACTTCTATGTACTTTGAGGGTGTTGAACTCTGAAAATAACTCACAGTATGAAGATAAAAATGTGCATGCACCATTAGATGTACTGAAGCTATTGCACATTACAAATAACAACAAAAAAGGAGGGGACTTTTCCCAGATTTGGCTGATTTTACATGGAATGACCTCAGAGCTCATTCAGCTGAGAGCGCATTAGCTACATCTTCTTTTATATTGAATTCCACCTCATTAGCCTGTATGGCTCATGTTCTTAACAGGCCTTAACCTGCCTCATTCTCTGCAGATCAATACTCAGTCTAACCTAATAAGGCCTCTGCACACTGTGTACGTACACACACACACACAGACACACACACACATATTTTTATATATATATATGAGCATATATATACATATTCTTAAACCTCTGCTGACTCACAAAACCGTCGCTGCTGTTTAAGACGGAAACAAAAGTGCTCAACAATTAGCTGATTATTTGGCCCTGTGAGCTGCCAAATGAAATTAGGAAGAGACACACACATATGCACGCACACACACTGCTGCCCATAGCAACTCCAGTGGCACTCGTAGCAGGCTTAATGTGACACTAACTCATTCTGCAGAGAACAGCGTGTCCAGTGCTGCACACACACACACACACACACACACACACACACACACACACACACACACACAAATATATATATATAAATATATATACACACACAAGTCTGTGCTACAGGGAGGCTGTCACTAACACCAGTCTCACTTTGAGGTATCCATTATCTGAAGCTTATTTATTGTTTGTTTATGTGACTCTTTTGTTTGTTGTGTTTGCTGATGCAGAGTCACTCCAGCCCTCCTTTCACGGCGGCTTTTCAGACTCGCACACTCTCCCTCGTCTTTCTTCCCCGCTCTCCCCTTCTTCCTCTGTTCACTCCTGGGGAGAGATCGATGGCTGCCTTTTCTGCTCGGGCCACTCTGAAGCGGTCGATCCCCCGGCGGCTCTGGTGGCTCGGCCGCCGCTATGCGCCTGTGTGCTTTGCCGAGGTGGCAGAGCGCTGCTGAGAGCGCCGCGGACGCCATTCCAGAGCCGCGCATCCACAGTGGCGCTGGTCGATCAGGCACAGAGTTAAGTGCTCCCCCAGAGAGCGAGGATGGGGTTGGAGGGCTCGGACGGAAAAAAAAGGAGGTGGAGGAGGCGGCGGTGGAGGGGGCAGGGTGAAGTCATGGGGATTTTACCACATTAATGTACAGATTCTGAAGCCGTAATTGCAGGATATCCTCTGTCGCCTTCGGGTTTCTAATGCACAGCCAAAGACGCATGTTTGCAGAAAAAAGCTGCGACTCTCCTCCGCGCTGATTAGAGCAGCAGGTGTGCGGCAGGTGCAGCAGGTGCTTCTGGGTGTCGGGTTCTTGTTTCAAGCGGAGATGTGCAGGAACACGTGTGCGTCTTTGAGCGTATGTGTGACGTTGGTGGATGTGTCCACCTGATCGCTGTCACATCGAATCACCCACAGAGCAAGCAGGGGACAAAAGGAAAGAAGCCCAGAAGGAGCGTGTGCATGTTTGTTTCTAAATATTCAATTGAATGAGCCCCAAAGCCTGATCGAAAGGCAGGTTATCTTTTAGAAACCCTGCAAAATGACACCATTTATCAGAGCCAGAAACTGTAAAAACAGAAAGGCCACTGATGACTCAGCTGGAACCAAAAGTCATTTAACAAAAAATCTGAAAGTTTTCAGCTGAATTGCAGGCAGTGCACAAGAGCAGAGAGGACAGAATATATATAACATGTGGAGGCACCATTTTTTAACCCAGTGCTGGCAACACTTTTGTGCACTTGGTAAAATGTTGCACATAATTTATATCCATTTTATAAAATATATATATTTTTATTGTTGCAAAATGCAAATCAAAGAAATTCAACGTTTTTATGATTTTTGGCATCATAACTTTTTAAAGACAGTTTCTTTCCTCCTCGTCATGGCTGTGATGTTTCCACAGAGGTGTGGGACTTCATATTGCAGTGAAAAATTAACCCACAGTGAGGGAAAAAAAACCCCAAAACAAACATACGCGCAGATGTTTTTTTTTCTTTTTACATAAAAGCAGCTTGGATGATTGACGTGTTTGTGTGCAGCGGCGACGGAAAGATGTGGTTGGTTCTGTTCACGGGTTAAATTACATTCTTCCCTGCTGGTAATTTTAAAATCCGTCGTTACCTGCGAGCAGCACGAGGGCAGCCAGGCAGGCGAAGGCGGAGGCGTCCAGGTTTAGGCTCTGGAGGTGGGTGGAGAAGTCCCGGATGGAGTCCAGCCACTCCCCGAACCCACGAAGGCACTGGAACCTGTGCAGCACCAAACCGTTGCAGAACACGAGCTTATCGTCCGACAGCATCGACCTGAGAAACAAGAAGAAGAAGAGAAGAAGGAGGAGGTCTCCAGTGAAACGCTGCGTTTTCCCTCCTGTATTGTAAATATCGCTTGAGATAGCAGGGGCAAGGAAACAATTACAATAAAAAACAATGAGAAACGCTGGCAGTATGCACATCAAACACTGGCATGCAGCTGATTAAGGTTGTGTTTTCCAAATTATAGCATTTTAGAACATTCCTGCGTTTCCTTGCGGTGGGGCGGGGTGAAGGGTTAGGGCAGAGGGCTGTGTGCAGGCGCAGATAGGTAATGGCTTTAATGTGCCCGGGCTGTGGTGTGCAGTGGAAACACAAAGCTTTAATGAGGAAATGAAAAGGCTTCTCAGATGTATTTAACCATCACTTACTCACGACACACAACATCGAGCAGCGCGGGAGCGGACTGGTCTTTATTAGAGGCCAGAAGAAGTGGAGAGTTTGTGCAGCAAAAAGACAGAAAGCTACGATAGATGGAAGATGCAGGACTGAGAATGTAGAGAATCAGGGGGAAAAAAGGGGGGGGGGGGAGCCTCAAATTACACCCTGCACAAACATTGGCTTAGCAGTTATGGGGATAAGATGCGATGCCATTTGCGTCTAATTATCCTTGGTATGGTTTAAAAGAGGCGCTCCACCCACCCTCGGCCCGACACATGCACAAAGATGCTTGAACATAATCAAACACACGTTAAAAACATCTTTTCTCTTTTATGCACGCAAATGAAAACGATTAACACGAGCCAACGGGACCAGAATGTACCGAAGCGAGGGCAGAGAGAAGACAGTAAACGAGGTGTTGGGAGGTGATGCACAGAGCAGGAAGTGCATCATCGTCACCTGCTACTGAGGGAAAACAGAGCAGTTTGTTTTTGACCTTAACCCTTCGGTTCAAGTCAGGAAACGCTTTCATGTACACCGTTTCACATTATTGATTAGAGCCGCGTGTCGATCAGCTGTCGGCTAATAAATTATTCAACAGCTATTTTGATGATCAACTAGTCGGTTTGAGTAATTAAAAAAAAAAAAATCAAGCAAAAAAGACATTTTTGGATTGCAGCTTCTTAAATGTGATTATTTTCTGGTTTCTTTCCTCGTTTATGACAGTGAACTGAATATCTTTGCATCACGGATAAAACAAGACGTTTGTCATATTGGACTTTGTAATATTTTCAGATTTTTCATACACGAAACAACTAATCGAGAAAATAATTGACAATAAAAGTAATTGTTAGCTGCAGCCCTATTTAAGGGTAGTGTATTTAGCATGACAAATTTAGCATGACTACACTGTAAATATTGGATTTTCTAAAATAGTTTTTGTGTGTGAACAATCCTCGGTGTTTCATTAATAGAATGAAAGGACGAAGCTGCAAACTTGACATTAAATCCACCAGAAACAAATGAGTGGAAACTTTGAAGCTAAAACATCACAAGTATGCGCTTTTTCCAGCATCGCCATGAAAAGTAAATATGCCTTTAATACACCGAGCTGCTCGAAAACATTATTATTTTTATTACATAACATTATGTCACAATACTATTTGATCTGCGGCTGATAGTAGCACATGAGCAGAGCTGCACAGACAGGCGCAGCCATGCAGAGACACACATTTATCTGTTTTACAAGTTCCCACCAAATCTGAGCATGAACAGAGCGCATTTCTGGATTTCCTGAAAAGGTTCTTTTGTGTGTGAACAATCCCTGTGAACGGTTTCGCTGTCGCAATGTTTGCAATATGCAAATTGCAGAAGCTGCATTTTTTCCTCATAAAATGTGACACAGCATTCTAGATGGAAAAGAAATGCAAAGATTCAAGCTAAGTAAAAAAAAAAAAGAAAAGGTCAAAATATTCTTTCACTTTCAGCTTGTCTTTAAGTCCTGGTGGATTGAGTGTGTTTTAGTGACAGACTGACGGTAAAATGCTCCAAAGTTAAACCAATGGGGTGGCAAATGAGGTGAAACTTGGAGTTAAAAAGCCTCAAGTTGTTTCCAACTCACGAGGTCCACAATTTACGAGTGAATTTTTCTCTGAGCACAATTTATCGTTTCAGCACCAACACCACAGTGAACATCTGAAGTGTAGCAGAGCAACTCAAACACACCACGCTACAACTTTTTTGCTGCTTTTTTTCCCTACATTTCCATTTTCCAGGGCTAATCTTCAAAAGAAGTCTGTCTGATAGGGCATCATTCAGTCTGATTAAAAACTTCTTGAACACACCAAGTTGTTGTTTTTAGGCTCCGCATGTGCACAGCAAAATGACAGCAAAGAGAGACTTGGTTGGCAAAAAGAAAATCAGTTGCACGGAAATATTTTACGGCTACAGAAAAGAAGACAGCGGCTCCATCATCTTGTACTAAACTAAGCAACAATTTGTTTGAGCTTTTAAATCTGCAGCACAAAACTCTGCATGACGAGTGTAAAACTGAAACTGAATGCAAAGCAAAAACCTCCCACTATTTTACCACATAAGAACAGCTTTTATACAAAATATTTCCTCTATTCTCTGCAGATAAACTCCTCTGCAAAATCAATAACAACTGCATAATGATAAAATCTTTCCAAATAGCAAACAACGGTTTTAAAATTCTGGTATTTTTTCATCATATCTTGCAGAAAAACTAAATGTTTCAAAGTCAGTATTTCCAGTATCTTGCAGCCTCGACAGCGCTGCCTAAAAACACCATTATTATAATATTACATAATATTATTTGCAAATACTATTTGACCCGTGTGTGATAGTAGCACATGAGCAAAGCTGCACACACACACACACACAGACACAGCTGGATGTCTGCCACACATTCCTCTCACCCCTGACGACACTGTCACCACGGTAATCAACCAATAACCACAGAAACTGTTTGGTAACGGGGCGCTCGCAGCAATGCCGGCCCGGGAGAGCAGCGGAGCAAATTTACTCTGCCGAGGACATGCAAGCACACAGATGTGCGTTTGGGGGTCTGCGGGGCTTTTGGGTTCAGGACGGGGTCACCGTGGGGTCGCGCGTACGGATGCATCCGCCGCTCTCACGAGGAGATAAAACCGTGCTCGTTTTTCCTCTCCCTGCCGTGGGAAGGCGAGCAGCGAGTCCACCCTTTCCAGAATGAGTCAGAGCCCGATCCCCACCTCCTGCTGGGCCTGTGATGCCACCACCCAGCCTCTACCCACCCTGCACCTGGAGCCAGGAGGAGGACGGAGCCGGGACTCTGCATCATCAGTGTGTGTGAGTAAGCGACTGTGTTGGTCTTCTGCCCTGGACGACAAGCGCAGACAAAAGGATGAGCTCGTAGCCCTCCCCCATAAATTTAACCAGCCACATGCCTTGCGGGAGCAGACTGGTAACCAGGGGCGATAGTGAGAGCGGAGCCGGGCCGGAGCAGTCACAACGGCACCATGGGTATCCACGTGCTCACACACAGACACGCAACTCTGGAAGCAAATGAAGTCAATTCTCTTCTTTTTCCAGTCAGCTGAACTGAATATGTATCTGCTTCCATAACGGGGCCTTTTGAGCTCCTCAGCTGACCGGCTCCTCAGATGGAATCGATGCCGTCGATTCACAATGTTAGCACAGTTTCAGAGCACACACTGAGCTTTCTGTGCGTCAGATATCAGTTCGAGCCGAGCGGAACTCTGTGGGCGTAGCTGCTGTCATAGCTACAGACTCCATTCATAATTTGGTTCATATGGCGATTACTCAGCTCCACTCCTCCCACTCTGGAGATACACCAACACAGCAGCAGCGCCGCTCTGCCAGCACACTTACAGCACACTGTGTTTAACGGTAAAAGGATACTAAAGGCCTGTTGTTCTTAACAAGACGTCAGATGCCAAAACAGAGTTGCGAACAAAGTCGTGGGTGTGTGCTGGGAATCAAAACATTTCAGAGGTGGAGAAAAGTTAAATTAAAAGTGTTAGAAGTTGTCAGCGGGCTCTGACTTCTAACCTGTGAGCCGGCGTGACTCACTGGGTGCAGATTGGAGGTTTAAGCAGTCATTTGCTTTGAAAATTCACAAACATCTGAGCAGCAAGTTTTTGCTGAAGATTTGCATCGTTGCAGCAAAGCAGTTGTGCTCCTTTGCAGGGGCACCGTCGCTGCATCCTTCGCTCAGCTCCACCCAACATCACTGTCAACGTCACAAACTCTACAGCGGAGTGAGGTGTGAAATTACCTGTGAGCCAGTCGCAGGACAAACAGCTCCAAGAAGGCCGAGTCTATGAGCAGGTTCTGGTCGTCCCGCTGCAGCTCGGAGAAGCCGGGCAGCCGGTCGGCCCAGCACCTCGTGGTCTCCATGGAGATGGTGAGCAGCCGGTAGAAGAGCTGGATGTGCTCTGCGTCTGAGGAGGAGGACGGAGGGTCGGCAGCGCTGAACTGTGGGACGAGGAGAGAGCAGAAACGTCACCGAAAGAGCTCCCTAAAGAGGCCATGTTTATGAATACGAGGGAGCGGTGAAGGTACCTGGCTGTAGTCAAGGTCTCGGGGTGTGCAGTGGGAATAAGCCCTGAGCAGAGCGGACAACAGGCTGAGCGGAGGAGACGGAGGAGACGCCTCCGTCTGCAGGGGGCTCTTTGGTTTGGAGGGCAGACGGCCTCGACGCCCCTTCAAACTGTCCGTACGAACAACTGTGAGCAAGAGGAAGGAGAAGGTTTGCTATCAGAACTGTGGAGCTTCTCCCAAACTCAGGAGGCTGCAGCCAGCAGATGGCAGTGGAGCTGTTCTGGAGGCTGCAGATGTGTGTGTGTGATACAAAAACATGTGTGTTCAGGCATGTGTGTGTATTACAGGATGCATGAGAAGTGAGAAACCTCAGAGAAAGGAGGGCAGCTGATTGTACACATCAGCAAAACATCTCGGCTGTGCAGCAGAAAGTGATGACACTGAAGCTTCCATGGTCAACCTGGATTCAGTGTAAACTGATTGTTTTGATGAGAGTTTTCGATTTGGTTTCTTTCACAAGAGAGAAGTGACTGAAGGGATGTGTGATGCTGCTCTAGGGTACACTTCATTTGCTGCACTCTGGGTAACTTTTAAGCACCAATTTGCCTCCATATTGTTGCATCTATGACTGCAGGGATGTGAGAGGACTGTTGAACCCTGACTGAAAGTTGTGTCCATAATCTGGAGGTTGCGCGAGCAGCGTGAGGCCTCCTACCTTCCTTGACCATCCCGACACTCAGACACTTCTGGAAGCGGCAGTACTGGCAGCGGTTGCGTCTCCGTTTGTCCACCGGACAGTTCTTACTGGCCAGACACACGTACTTGGCGTTTTTCTGCACTGTGCGCTGCGAAGACAAGAAACACACATTCCGACAATCAGCCTCCAAACACAATCAACACCTAATATTTGATTTGTTTAATTCAATTTCTGTGTTTTTTTTTCTCTCTCCCCTTTTCCTTTCCCCATCAAAGGATGGAAGCAGAAGCTCGCAGGTCAGATTTTAATTACGCGCTGAAAGGCGGCGGTGACATCAGTATAATTAGATAAAATTAATTTTCCAACAAGCCTCGCCTGCAGGAGGGACAATTTTATTAGCGCCGGAGCTGACAATGGGGGGATCGAGCGTGCCGAGGCGGGTCCCGAGAGACGGGGGGCTGGGTGAGGAGGGGTGAGGAGGGACTGGGAGGGGGGGAGGACAGCGGCGGCCGCGAGAGCTGCGTGATCAGATTGTTTGTGAAGCTCGCGGGTCAGCTCGTGGCACCTCGGGGGCCCCTCGCGCATCGATGGGCCCCGCGGGAGCTGTTTTCTCCTCGGCTGACTCGCGCGATTATTACTGACCTTATTAAAATGAAATCAGAAACGGGCCACGTGGGGGCCGCGGCCGCCGCACCGCGTGGAGGGAGGACAATAATAACTGAGACGGTAGTAAATGACGGGGCTGGATGGAGCTGTGCGTAAAAAGGCACAATGAGCTGGAATAAGCGGTGATTTCACGGCTTTATTTACTTATTTATTGTCGTGCGCAGACTAATATCACCATTTCCTGTGCAGCTTTTTAATGCACGAGTGTAGATTTTACGTGCGCATTTGGGGGTCTGTGCCCCCTCTTCCAGGATATTTTGGGCATCAAACACTTCATTTCCTGCACGCTGGTTAACTTTTACGCACCAATTTGCCTCCACATTGTTGCATCTTTGAGTAGCTGTTTTCCAAAGTAGAAGTCCTCTGCTTCTTTCATGTTTTCATTGGGGTGAGACCTACAGTTCTGCTTTAACTACATCACATTTAAGATTTATATCTCACTACTTCTTACTGTTTTACTTACATACTTTTCTGTGTTTTATTCTGTTACATTTCAGCATTTCACTCTGTTCCATCTCAGTTTTCCACTCAACTACATTTGAGTGTTTTACTCCACTACATGGATCTGGCAACAGCAAACTAAGATTTTACCGCACAAAACATAATTACCATCAATCTGTGTCTCGTTTTGCTTCGTTCTGTGGTGGAAATGTCTTTATTTATGTGAACAAAACTCTAAGTTTAGGCACAATGAGTTAACTTTGCAGCGGATCTTTGCTTCTTTCCTGTTTGTGCATCCTCCATAAAAATCTACCTGTATGGGTAGGACAGCAGGGCATGGATCTAGCAAAGGTCCTCTAGCTGGCCATGTTTTGTAGGAAGTGACTGGTCAATTATCGAATTCAGTATAGTCCCTGGATTACATTATAAAAATGACGAAACCTATTGTTTTGGCCAATTTCGTAACAGAATCAACATAGATGAAAAACTATAAAAAAATAATCAGATAAAAACTATTTGTGGCTTCTGTCTGTCATCTCTTGGGCAAATCCCCGCCCACAACTCTTTCCGTATACGAATAATAACATTGAAAAGTTTTCTTTGAATTCAACCGATGCTAAATGTTAAATTTCAAGACATTTCAATTAAGTTTTGTACTTTGTGGTTTTAACACTGCAAATGTATATCGACTCCAAATATCGGTTCGGCTGATTCATCTGTATCAGACTCGAACAAACCCACATCAGTCGACACCATCTGTTTTGTCCACGTGTGACTTGAGGTGACGTTGAAATAGAAAGACGGTGATTGACAAGTTTAAGCATCAAACTCTTAAATTCCTGAATGTTTATGCGCCAATTTGTTCCTCAGCTTATAGCAGTAATGTCTCTATTTATGTGAGTTTGGATGGAAGCTTGCAGGACTGGATTTGAGGCCTCCATGCTGCCAGTCTTTCCAGACACGAGGATTAAATCTGGTGGCCAAGCCCCTGCCTGGGGTGCACATCTGCACAGCTAAACAGTTACACAAAGACAACACAAAACACATGTACGTTATAATTGCTGTCATTTGCAAAAGCTGTCTAGCCCGTAGTCCAGTCAGAGCAGAACAAACTGTAAATTACACAAATGGAACACCCTGAAAGTGCCACGACTTCCCCTCCCTTTTCTCTGTCTCTTTCTTTCTTTTTTTTTTTTTATTTCTTTAACGCCTCTAAAACACATCAAAACAAATAAATCCAATTAGCAACCCCTCGCGCCACACATGCCCGTGCCCCCGGGAGACCAATAACACACCAATTATTCCATACGCTGCGGCGCGAGCGGCGGAACTGACGCGTAATGGGCGCCAGTGCCGGATGAGAGTGGTTGCCATGGACACGGTGGATCGCTGCGGCGAACGTCAACCCCTCTCATCACCCCCATCTCACCCCCTCTTCAGTGGCCAGTGACCCGTGAGAGCAAGGAGAAGTCAGTTATGGTCATTAATGTGGTTTCAGCGGGAGTCCGGACAAGTGGAGCTGCAGACATTTAGTCACACCTTTACAAGTTTGGAGACTTTTACACGAGTTTTTGGTGTAGAAGTTGTAAATAAAACAGCCAAACAGATTCGGTTACTTCTCTGGTTTTTCCATTCTTTGAGGACTGAGGTGGTTGCTGGAGGAGGAGGAAGAGGTTCTCCTGGGTGACCTCAGGTCTTTAATTTAGGAGATAACTGGTTCCAAGAAAAGACAGCAATGGTCGATTAAGATTTTGATAAATTGTCTTGACTGTCTCCTGCTGTCTACCGTCTTTACTGTGTGTGTGTGTTGCTGCTCTTGTGACTCTGCTTTCTAATAAGCAGCATTGAGCAGAACTGGCGTCTGAGCAGAGACACTAAGAGCTACTATTGTTTGGCTAACTCGTCTCTGATATCCGTGTTCTGCAGGTGAACAAAAATACACATAAATCAAATTATCCCGGCATGATTATCAAACCTGAGGATCCTTATTGTGCACTGCAGCCTATAAGTATGTGAGTTTAATTCGTCCTCGTGTCTGTCCCAAAATTTCATCAAAAAAAGGCAAACTTTTGCATGTACAGTTACTTAATTGAGCTCGGAGTCTACAAATGCAACGCTAGCAGACGCTCTCATGCTGAGGGTGCAGTGGGGGCTGGATGGAGGCATGCAGAGGCAGATTCTTGACATGTAACATGTGCTAATAGCCCCGGCTTAAATTAAAAGCCTTTAGGGACTTTGCCCCCCTTCCTCCTTTCCTCACCCGAAATCCCATCCCGCCTCCTGCTTCAGACCTCTGTGTCTGTACAAAAAGTGCAGAAAAAAAAAAGTGTAGGCATTTATGATTTCCTTCGCAAGAATAACTCTGATTCAAAGCGCTGAGGCGATCACATGCCCAGGTCCGTGCATGTTTTTGGGTGTATATATGATCAACTTACACGCCTCTCGTGTGCGTTTAAGTGATTCAGACATGTGTAAGTTACCATTCAGCTTGTTTTTCAGCACCAGACTGACACCTCCCAACCTTCCTGTGACTAACATGTTGCTGTGCAGGCAGTGGAAATTAAAAAAGCTGCATGCAGCGAACCTTTTGGTTGCTAAAAGCACAACTAAAGTAGTGGACTAGTTTGGGTGCATAAAAAACAGGTGACTTTAATGTTCTTTTTACAATCATAATGTATTATACTAACAGCTGAGATGGTTTTTCATTTTAAAAAAATTCAGCAGCGAATTAATGGAAACCGCTGAATGGAAAGCATTATTCAGGCCCCAAAAAATAAACGCAGGACTTAGTTTAAGAGCTAAAATTAATTCACTGCGAAAATGTGCTTCAAATTGCACTAATGAAATAACAATAATTTACAGCAAGGCCCCTACTATGGTTTAATGTGTAATAAGTATTCACGGATAATTAAATATAATCAGGAAAATATTTTTAGGGGGACAATAAAACCATCAGGATAATGGAAGGTGCCGTGCGTGAGAAAATGCGAGAAAGAAGAGCAGGTTGTTTGGTTTCTGTTGCTGCATCCTGACCAAAAAATCTGTACATGTTGTATGTTTTTCTATATGCGTGTGTGGTTGTGTGCGTGCACGCTCGGCTGCATCTGCACGTGTGTGTGTGCGTGGAGGAAACGTAGCGAGGGTTGACAGGCTTTGTGGCTGCCGAGCACTGCAGCGAGCACACAGCCCGCAGCCTGCTGCCACCAGACGCTGCTCTCATTAATTACTAAATAAAAACAAATTGTGAAACTAATTGAAAAGAAGGATAATTCATTTCCACCTACCAGAGGCATTATTCAATTAGCTCCGCGTTTGCACCCTCCTCCTCGCTGTCTCTTAATTCTGCCTCACACAGCCAATAGAATGCTTAACAAGCGTGCCACAAAATGTTATAATTCAAAATCTATGCAAAGAAATTACTCCACTGTCACCCAGTGTGAGCTTACTGTCGTTTCAGTTGATGCACCGACAAGCCGCGCAGTTATATAATATCAGGCACGTGTCGAAAGTTTGTTTGTAAAGTCTATTGTGTTTCTTTGACTTGCACGAGGGAATATGAAAAACCAGTCTGACTAAACACTGGCTTTTGAAGCTGCACGTGAGATCAAGTGTTAGATTGAATCATTAAACGGACCAAATTTCAGCCTGACTCATAGCGGCCCCAGCGTTGTGTCTGTGAATTGTGGTCAATTTTGTGGCCACTGATTCACAATAAACGCGCTGAGAGGAAACTTTGATTCTGAGGAGGATTCCGTCTCCGCCGCTCTGAGAGAATGTCTTTTCTTTTTTAAATCATCCTGTGTTTCTCACGCAACTGAAGCAGCCACGCTGAAGCCGTACATACGCACACTTTGCCCACTTGGTTGCCGGGAGAGACGACCCTTGTGGGTGTGTTGTGCTTTCGCAATGACTCCAAAGATGATTTAGAGAGCAGCGGAGACGGGTGTAGAGTGGGAGCGAGGCGGACGCAAGAAAGGCTGTTTCAAAATGAAATACGTCAGTCAGTTCTGCAGCCAGTTCGCAGATACCGGGTTGGTATTTTAAGGTGCAGTGTGAGTTATGAATGTGTGAGGTCAAAAACTCAAGCCAGAAACTCCACTTAGCCGAGCGATACAAGAACCGGACAGAAACGGCACCTGTGTAGAGTTTTTACCTTGAAGAAGCCCTTGCAGCCCTCACAGGTGCGGACGCCGTAGTGCTGGCAGGCGGCGTTGTCTCCGCACACGGCGCAGGTTCCCTCCCCTTGGGGGCCACGTGGCGGCGGCGAGGGCAGGCTGTCCCCTAGTAGAGGGCCGCAGGGGCCGAGGGCCAGGGAGCGGAAGGCGAGGCTGCTGCCTCCGGCCCCGCGGTGCAGCTGGTACATGGGCTGCTCCAGGGGCGGCCCGTGAGGGTGGGACACTGATGACGAGGAGGAGGAGGAGGAAGAAGAGGTGCGGACCAGGCCCCCTCCCAGACTCTCGTAGCCGCCGACGCTGCCGCCACTGTGCGGCGGCGAGTGCTGGTAGAAGTGCGGGAAGCGGGGGGACTTGAGGGGCCCCGTCTCCAGGCTGGAGCCCAGAGAGTGAGGGTGCGACGGCGGGGCCAGGGAGTGCTCCTCCCACAGGAAGGAGGTGCCGGGCTGGGGCGGCAGGGACGGGGTGGTGGGGGTGGAAGGGGGCGACTGCTTAAAGTACATGGTGGAGGAGGACATGGCCTCCAGCGGCGGGGCGGTCGGGTAGCTCTCCTCCTCCTTCTTGATGGTGGGCCTGTGCGAGGGCATCTGGTAGAGGCAGGAGGACTTGGGCTCGTAGCTGCCCTCCACGAAGACATTGAAGCTGGGCAGGGAGGTGGTGGCAGCGGCGGAGATCTCGCCCCCGCCCAGGTCCAGCTTGGTGTAGTCGGGGGTCATGAGGTCGGCGCTGTAGCTGTCACCCTGGTAGCTGAAGGACTGGCCGGAGTAGGCTGAGCCTGGGGGGGCGGGCCCGTACTGAGCCTGCACACAGGGCATGTCTGCCGGGAAACACAGCACACATGGAGGTTAGAGCAGCAGAACACATCGAGGCTTCTATCCAAAGAGCATCTTTACAGTCTCCATTTAAAATCAAGCAAATCTGGAAAAAGGTTCCCACTTGACCCTCTCAGAATCAGCAGAACTGTTACGCACAACAGCACAAGAACTTCCTTCAGGATAAATAAAGTTCTATCTTATCTTAATTTAAAATACGTCTGTATTAGAATATTATTTAGAAGGAATCCCGAGTCTGGTGTCAAATGTAGGTAAAAATAAGACTTTTCATTTGCTGTAACTCGTCCCATGTGCTGATATGACCCTTAACAGTTCACCAAAATGCACTTTTTAAAAAAGTTTTCTCCAGTGAATTATCAGAAAACAGAAAACACATCCAGGGTATCAACGCTTGTTTCCATTAGCCCACATCATAGACATTAAACTGCTGTAGTTATGCTGTTGAAACTATGATTTATCCCATAATATTGATCCTTAAAGTTGGTTACAGTAAAATCCTGTAGCACAAAAACAGGATTTTGACTTTATATTGTAACATGTAGAGTGGATGTAAAACTGATCTGAACTCCTTCGTCCCTAAACATTTCATGTGTTAAAAAAATGATGGGAAAAGTGCAAAATTAACACACTTCTTTGTACTTTAAAGGCCCGGAACTCCAAAAATATTCATAGCACGAAGGTAAGCTTTTGTATGTCATCATGAAATATATTAAAGTTATTGTGCACAAAAAAAAATAAAAATCAGCTGATTCTGAGGAGGTCAGGGGAGTGATTTTACCCGAGTGACTCTGTGTGTTAGTGGCAACAATCATTAGTTAGAGAAGACAATGTGATGATATATTAGTGATTTAAACAGAGAAGCAGGACTTGGAGGAGGAGGTTGCAGATAGAAGCACCGTAGAGAAAAAGTCCCTACGGTATAAAGAGGCTCATGCACACAAAGGCCAAAGATTAAACATTAAAAACGTCTGCACAGCTCTATTGGAACAGGCAATTTTTCTTCAGCTCTGAAGGTGTCAGGGATTGCACAATATTATAAAAATGCACCTTTCTTTTTTAGTGAACAAATCTTTCCATGTGCACTCATTTTCCTGCATTTTTTTTTTTTTTGCACTGGATTATAGAAATATTTGCACACACACACACACACACACACAACCTCAAACACTTGCTGAACATCCCACAGTTAGTTGAGAAGCTGCAAGAAGCAAGATCCAAAGTTGCTCTGTGTGTGTAGGTGGGTGTTTGCTCTGGTTAGTCAGATGGCAAAGCAGATGAGATAACATTAAATAATAATGGAACCCAATGGTGGTGCTGGATGCTGCACAAACCGCACAGAAACGCACGGATATTCCTGCAACAGGTCATCATCATCATCATGTGCTCTTATCGGGCCTCTTACGTAATCCGCAACACCTGCATGCATACGTGTGTGTGTGCGTGTGTGTCGAGTGTGTGCGCAGTCTGAGTTCTTTTTTCTTTTTTTTGCGCTGTTTGCTCGGGAACTGTCAACAGCGCGCTGCTCCCATTGACGCCCAGCATGCGCGTAATCGCCCCCGTCTCCGTTGCGCGTCATGTTTGTGGAGCCAAATACGGGACAAGTCGGTGCTGCTGCTGTCAGAGGACTCACACATGCCTCCATTCGCCCTAGTTTGCCTTTTTTTTTTTTTTAAATCAATAAAACTCCCGCATGATAATCCCTCCTATTAATACAAAAACAGCCTGGAACTTATTTTAGTTTGCGGTCATTTGCGCCTAATAAACTGCGCAAATATCAGTCACAGTGGAAGCAGGCAGGGTGACACATTTATTCAGACGCTCTGCAACACAATTAAATTATACCTGAAGGGCAGCGTGCGTTTTTGGCTGCGAGGGGGGCTGAGAAAAGAAAAAAAGAAAAAACAAGAGGGTGACTCAAAGCGTTAATTATGGAAAAGAAAAGAAAAAGCATTTCTGTCGAGGTTTGATCGTTTGTTAGAAGTCAAAAGGTCAAACTGCAAGATGAGAAAAAAAAATCTATTTTACTAGTTTTCTTTTTTTAAGGGTTGGTTTGACACAATTGTGTAAAATTGCATAAACTTAATATTGTGTGTAATTTAAACTCAAATGACTCCATTAAGTAGATTTAAAGCGTTCAAGTTCAAGGTGATGCAAGTTCATTGAATTTGCTTGACATCTTTTTTTTCACCTTGAGTTCAGGTTTTCAAAGCGCCTGGACAATCTCACACCATTTGGCATATTTGTGTTGCATTAATTTTAAATCTTGTGAAAATTAAACTCAAATCCCTGCAATAGGTTGATTTAAAGCTAAATCAAAGTTGCTGAGACTTGGTGAAATTTGCTAGACAACTTTTTTTTCCACTTCGAGTTCAGGATTTCGACACATCTGGATCATTTCACAAGTTTTGACGGGATTGTGTTGCCTGAACATGACACTGTTTGTAATTGAAACTCAGTTTTTTTGCGTTAAGCTGATTTCAAGCTGAATTCAAGTTGATGTGACTTATTGGAAACTGGCTTGATAACAATTTATCAGCTTGAGTTCAGGATTTCAACACATCTGGACCAATTCATAAGAGGAGAAGCTCAATATTCTAACTCGCTGTTGTCTGTTTGTTGAATATAATTTCATGAGAAGGTGTTTTAACTTAAAAATATTGATTTAAGCTGTTAGTTTTTGTTGTTACATCTCAGCCCACACATTTTCTTCCAGTGTGATCTCTCACAAAAACAACCGAAGAACCACAATAAATTGGAAAACCACAATGTTCTTATTGTACAAATGTTTTTCTCCATTATTCACCAATAAGTATGTCAGCCACGTCTCACTGGGAATATTAAGTTGCGAGATTTTTTTTTTTTTTCTAGTTTGAGGATATGACTCAAGCTGCAGGCCTACGTGTGCTTTGCGTCATCGACTTGTTGCTTTTTTTTTTTTCTCTTCTTCTTCTTCTGCAAGTGACCAGCTCTTCAACCCACGTGGAAAAACACACACACACATGGGCGTCATGGGGCCTTTTCTGGGCTTACACACCTCGAGACTTTCTCAACTGATTAGGCATCAGAGGAGGAAGCGGGCGAGCGCCAAAGAAAACTGCTCGGAGAGGAGAGTACGCTGGTGAACTTTTTGTGGTTGTGCGTGTCGTGTCAGTAGGTCAAGCCACATATCGTTAGAGTGTGTGTGTGTGTGCACATGTGTTCATGCATCTTCACCAGCATTTTCTAATAATTTGAGCTGAGAGGAGTTAAAAGAAGCTGCTTTTTCACACACACACGCGCACACACACACACACTCTGCTGTCTCCGTCACTGATGTACAAGATGTCAACATGGACCTGTATGTGCTCCCTCTGCTAATAACATACACCCTCATCCTAAAGAGAACCTGTAAAACCACTCTTCAGACTCTCCTTTGGCGCATTCGGTGCCGAGCCTCACTCACAGCACGCTCACAAGCTTGCATCCTCTCCTCACAAACACACCAACACTTTATTTTTAAGCCACAACAACAAAAAACCCTCACTGTTCCAACGCCACCATCAGATTGCCTTTATTACACTTGCATGCAAGCAGGTGTTTTTTTGTTGTTTTTTTTTGGTGTGTGTGTGTGTGTGTGTGCAAGCAAGAGGACAGACAACCCAAGCAGAGTCAGACACAGGTGGTGCAGCGTAAAAGTGAGGCGAAAGGGGGGAAAACAGTCTCTAACCTCGAGGTGTGCATTTCAACTGGACAAACTGCAGCTGTTCCAATAACTGAGTGCGCTTGTTCATTGTCAGAATGCCATAGATCTAACAAATGAAGACATGAAGGTGCAGACATGAATACAAAAAAAAAAAAAACACATTTTCTTTCTCTTTCTTTTGCCTTTTTTTTTTTTTTTTTAAATGTCAGTGAATTGTGAAACAGATTGTCTGGATTCAGTGGCCTCTCACACATATGCACACACAGAAACACAAAGCACAGAGACACAATTACACCACCAGTGGGAGATTATCTATATTTAGGTTTGAGTGGTCTCTCCTCTATTTAATTTAGCAAAAAAAATAAAATAAAATAAAACTGAGATTAAACAGTGGAGAATGCTTGGATGCAAATTCATGTGGCACAGATTTTTACTCAGGAAAAAATATGTTTTAAAATACAAAAATATTTATAACTGCAATTTGCAATGTGAGTCACATGTAAAGACCTCACTGAGTCATTGATGAGACCTCAGCTTCCCTCATCTTAAAGATTGAAATGTCAAGTCTTGGCTGCCGCAACACCAACACACACACTAACACACACACGAGAGCTGACGAGATGCAACGCACAAAGAAAAAAAAAAAAAGATCACCAGCAATGTTCATAAAACATATTTCTGAGTTTGAGCAGACAAAAGAAATAAGCTAAATTACTGCCGTCATGTTTAAATTCGGATTTAACACTTAAATGGACTTTTACGCATTTTTTTCAACATCACCAAAACTCGCCACAAAAAAGAGAGAGAGAGAGAGCTGTGACAAGTCTGCACAAAGAAAGAAAGAAAGAAAGAAAGAAAGAAAGAAAGAAAGAAAGAAAGAAAGAAAGAGAAAGTGGTCGGAGAGGTGTCTGTACCTGGTGAAAGAGCTTCGCGCTGAATGGTGCTGGGTGTCCGGGTTTTAGGGGTGGCGTGGCTGCGGCCGGGACAGGGCTCCTGGAGCGGGGAGGACTCGGCGGGCGTCGCTGAGGAAGTGTCCGATCGCCGTGGCTCCGAGCTCGGCTGGGCGCGCTCTTCCGAACCTGTGCCTGGTGGGGGAGAGAAGTGTGGGTTAAAGCCACGGAGGAGGCTGGATTAAAAACACCATCAAGATTCAAAGAAAAGGAAGCGACTTTTTAAGGATTTTTTCAGGTGTTTACACCGGTTATCTAAACTTTATTTAGAGAATTTTACAGCATTCTTTACATTCCTAAAAATATGGTTGAGAGAAATGTTTGCGCAATTTAAACCAAATGCGCAACCGGCTCATTCCCCCTAAAATGGATTATTTTTTGAGAAATATCTAATGCAACAGATAAACTAAGTAAATCAGATGAAAAGAGGCAGAAAGATGCGTAAAGACGGGATGAAATCACCAAAATGTCACAGTCTAAATTAAAACTCATCCATGCAAATCCACAAGAAGCAAAGTAAGCAGAAGATTTGCACCTTCACATCAAACACGGACCAATTTCTGTCGTTAAATGTGTCCCTGGATCCATGCTACAAAAAGAATACTAAGAACCACAACTGAGGACTTTTGGCTCATTTCAGAAGTTACACGTACGTGGGCGACAGGTTTCATTCTAACACTGAGCTCCGTTATTATAATAATTGAAATTTTGCGCTGCAAAATTCAAATTCGAGCAGCCTTGACAAAAAGTGCACAAGTTGTAGAAATACAGACCTACAAATGTGACAACTTTTAGGAACGCAGCCTCCAGCCCATCGCTTCTCCTGCCTCTGATCAGCACCGTATTCGCCCGCTCAGGGTTCATCCAGAGGGAGACGCGAATCGAGGAAGATTTTGGAGAGTCGGACCTGAAACCTAAACCAGCCGGGCTCTTGTGCGCCGTGCGCCTCTAACTCCCTGCGACTGCAGCAGGGCGGCGGGATTTCAAGGCCCAGAGCGCCCCCTTTCTGCCGCACACTCCCTTATATACATGCGCTCGCTCTCTCTCCCTCGTTCTCTCTCTTCGCCAGACGCACACAGACCCTCTGTGATACGGTCAAGTTAAGAGACCACTCAGACTCCCAGTGTGCGTCTCAATGCAGCCTGTTGACAAGCCGCAGCCCTCATAACCGCCTCTCAGGGCTGAAGGCACCTGCAGCCCGTCCAGTCCCTTCACCTCCGTGTCAACACAGCAGACTCCTCCTCTGAAACAAGCACTTTTCAACCAAACTTTAAGGCCAAACATCTGAGAGGAAACACTGCGCTCCTTTGATGGCTCCCTTTATGGCTTTTTATACAAATGTGATGACTCCAAATAGCGCAGAAATAAAGTTAAAAAAGACAAACCAGAGTAAACAAGCAAGTCAAGCCGTGGAACATTGATTTGATTAGGGTTGATTTGGAACAGTTGGGCCATTCTTCAGCGCTCTGAGGAGACGTTTGAGCGCAGGAAAAAAAAAGAGAAAAACTTTTACGCCTAAAAAGAATGAGCTGGTTACAGTAACAGCAGACATTCTTTGAGAGACGCCAAAATAAGCCGAAATTCTTACGAGCGTAATTGTGCGTAAATTGCGCGCACTGATAACAATCTTTGTGGAGACTTGAAAGTGGGAAAAGTAAAGAAAAGAAACTGTTTTTGTTTTGTTTTTTTCAACTACAAGAGTCGGTTGAAGTGAACAAACCGGGTTCCCTCCTCTCACTTTCTCCCTCCGGCCGGTGGGGCTCTGGCCCTGCGCGCACCGGTAACCAAGAGAACGACATAAGAGCTGCAAAGCACGCGCCCCGGAGCGCCGGTAGCCCCCGGTAGCCCCCCTTTTACCACCAATAACCCCGGACAGCGCGAGGCTTCCAGCAAACAGACAGAGAAAAGAGCGGACATAAAGGAGGGAGCGGAGAAATATGTGAGTACAGTAAATCAGCCTTGAGAGGGAGGCTGTCAGGGCTGCCTGCGTGCGTAAAAGTGAGTGTGAGATTTAAAAAGAAAAAAGAAAAGGTAAAATCAGCAAGTTGGGAAAGTCAGCTCTCCTCTGTGAGCTTCTTATCACAAACTGGGATCACTTTGGTGTAGATTTCACTGTGTTGTCACGAGGAAATGCTTCGGAAATCTGATTTCTAGGAGTTTTTGAATGGGAAGAGAGGCCATGTGCTCAGTCTTATCATATGAATGAAGACTCCTGGAGGAAAATCTGACATGTTTCAATGGAGCATTAACCCTCAAAACGCACAGCATGCACTGCTGGAGAGGTGTAATTCATCTAAAGGCGACCCAGTGCTCAGTGGCATGGCATACAAACACAAACACACCCACCATCCCACAAACACACCACTTTTAAAATCACTCTTTAAAAGCACAGCATCTACAAAATACCCTACAAGAGGCCTCCAAATAGAAGAAAAGAGACAGAAAAAATGGCATGAAATCAAAGAGCATTAACTGTCCTCTCCCAGCTCCTGCCTGAATGTAGGTTAGACTATTCTCCACTCACACCATTTGTGCGTCTGACTCCACTATTCATTGTGTGACTGAGAGGCATCTCATTTCCATGACAACCGCAAAGGATATGATACCTTCCCGGCGCAAATTAAATTCAGCTTCGTTTGCACACACCACACACACAGAGAAAGAGAGAGAGAGAGACACACACACAGACAGACAATATGAGCAGCTTTACGCGCATACTGGACACATATCAACAGGTTAGACGCACAAAGTTAGACAGAAAGCACACAGGAGAGGAGAAAAGAGCGGAAATTCAGCTCCACGTGTGGTTTAACCGTGAAAATATACAGCTGAGAGTTCGTGCGCTTTGACTCAGATATCAGCGATTCATTCATTCACACTTTACTTACTGGTTTGCTGTAGCGGTTCCGTCTTTACATGTGGTAATAACCTCGCTTGAAGTATCCTATTTCCATCCAGAATAATCACCAAGAGTCGAAGTAAAGAAGAGAAAAATATGTTTTCTTTAAAAAA